CAAAGGAGAATGACTCTGACATTTTAAATGTGTGTTACCCTAGATGTGTAAGAACGTTGGGCTACAGTCACTTCAGGTCAAGGTTAATCTTTGCCGGGGAAGCTGTAGGCCCGGAATATGACTTCCCGCTCTGATCTGCCCAGGTAGGAATTGAAGATCAGCCCATCCTGTGTGGTTACTTTTTCGATCACTGCGCTTGCCAGGCCTTCCCCGTGGCCCCCTGAGCTTGACGCTCTGCTGTGCCGTCTCTGTTCACAGTATCACGTACTAAGTAAGTCCTGTGAAGCAAACAGTCTGATGTGATGGCAATGACTGCAGCCTCTGGCCTGAGGTTCTAACTTGGGCGTCGTTAGCACGTAGATGGAGCAGGTGGGGGAGGTCAGGTGGAGGAGGAAGAGGCAGGGGTTGGCGTTGGGAGGAGGAAGCAGAGTGGGACCCCTGGTAAGCCCTCACGCGGTTCTGCTTCAGAAAAGAGCTAGTGGTCAGCAGGGCTGCAGGCCGGTGACAGTCCACGGAAGATGAGATGGGAAAGGCGCCCTGGTTCAAGCCACACGGGGGCTGTTTGGACCTTTCTGTAAGAGCAGTTTTGGAGGTCTGATGGGGCTCCGAAGAGGGAAGGATGAGGGGATGGGAGGCGAGAAGGGGGAGACAGCGTGTGGGGACAGCTTCTGAGATGCTGGATAGTGAAGAGGGGCTGAGAAAAGGTGTCTCGGTTGGAGGTGAAGTGGGGGGAGAGGGGCTGGGGGACCCAGGAGAAGGGTTTGTGCTGATGGTCAAGACCCATCGGGCAGCTGCAGGCGCCAGGTCTGTAGGTGAAGGAGAGGCGGAGGTACCAGTGTGATGGTGCCTGGGGGGGCTACGGGGGTAGGAGTGCCTCTTTGGAAAGGGGAGAATGGGGTAGGTTTGCAGTATACGTGAGTGGAGGTGGGAGACAGTCCCATTTGATAGCCTCATGGTCCTCAGTGACACCTTGACCAAGGAGGGGAGGGTACAGCCCAACCAAGACGGCCCGTCTCGGGAGATGTCTTTTGCAGTCACTATGAGAATGAACAGAGGTTGCTGGGTCCCCAAAACGATGGAAGCAGGTGCTCCTTGGCCCTCCTCTTTAGAGAGGAGGGATGGGATCAGAGAGGTGAGTGGTGAGTCCTAGATGGCGCAGTCGGGCACCGGGCTGCTGGGTGCAGGGCCAGTGCTGGCGATGCGATGAGCCCCTGAGCCCGCTGGGAACGTGGTGTCGGGAGAACTCGGTCCCTGCAGCAGATGCCCCTTCAGCTGGGCCAGGTGGGCGGTTCTGGGCCCTGTGTCACCGCCACTTCCCGCTTCTCAGACGTGAAGTGCAGGGAAGTCGCCTTCGTGCGCCCGGCGCTGGCCTGAGCGCTCCGGGAGGACCAGCTCATTCGTCCTCAGAAAAGTGCAGGTGCCATTGCTGTCCTCACCTTCCAGAGCAGGGAGAGGCCACCCAGCCAGCACGGCCAGCTGCCAGAGGGGGTGAGGGCCCCGCCCAGGTGGTCCGACGGCTGCTCCCACAGCATTCTTGCTGCCAGAGGAGGAGACGGGTGCGCAGGGAGCAGCTGATTTGTTTTTGTTTGTCTGTCCTTGCATTTCTCTCTTCCCATCACACGTTTATCTGGCACGGATTTCTTAGGGAGCCGGTACCAGCTAGGAGCCAGCTAGGAGTAACTGCGTGTACCCTCTTTCTGCTGGGGGAGGCAGATGGCACCCGGTGCAAAGACGGAGACTGCGTAACCCAGGCTTAGAAACGAGAAGCTTTCTAGGTGGTGTCTGAGCCAGGCAGCCAAGAGGCAGTGAGTTCAGGGAGAGGGAAGCCCTGGACATGGGTGCAAAGGCTGGGGCCGGAGCCATGGGGGATGCTGTCGAAGGTCTCCATCGGAGCTCTCACTTTATCTCGAGGACCATAGGAAGCCGGTCAAGTGTTTCCAGATATGGAGGGACAAGATCAGAACCTTTTGTCCTCGGGAGAGACGGTTGGAATGGTCAGGGGACATCAGGGAGACCTTAAGATCATCCTGCAAATGCTGCTGCTTCCTTAGCGCTTCCTAAAACCTGCTCATTTCTCTTTTCTAAAAAGATTCCTGAGACTCAGAGAGGTTAAGCAACTTGCCTGAGGACACACAGCATAACAGGGCATCCAGGCTGGGACTGGTCCCTTGACTGAAACAACCAAAGTCTCCAGGGTGGAAGCACGTGGAGAGTAACCCCAGGGAGAGACTCAGGGGAGGCTTGGGGGAACATCACGGTGCCACCATCTGCAGGTTCTCTTGAGGTTTTAACTGTTACCCTTCTGCGTTCTCAGAGGCTGGGCAGTGCCTCTGGGTGGGAGGAGCTGGGCTGCTGCTGGAAAGAGGGAGTTGGCCTTCCCGGGAGCCAGGGCCATGGGTTGTTTGAGCATTTTGCTGGACCTTGGCTTCCTCCCCAGTAAGTGATTGGAAAACTCCCGGGGGGCGGGGCTGGGATTCGATCCTGGACCTGGGTCATGTGAGGCCAGTGATGGTGCGGTCTTCGCCGAGGGCAGCAGCTGTATCTTCCAGAGGCCGGGCAGAGGCCTCGTTCTCGGGGGCCAGGAGAGATGAGGAGACCTGCTCCTGAAGGGCCCCTTCACTTTGGGCCGTGGACTTGCCTCTCTGCGGCCTTGGTTATCTCCTCTGTGACGTACAGAGGAGATGAAATGTGATCCCCAAGGATTGAAAAAATAAGCCGTGTTTACTGCGGGCTCAGAGTGTGCCAGGCACCATGTTTTTTCGTGGCAATCTGTGAGCTGCGGATGGTTAATATCTTCATTGAACAGACGTGGCAGCTGAGGAACAGAGAGGGTGATAATTTGCCCAAAGCCACACAGCTAGTCAAATGGCGGAACTGGAACCTGGGTCCTTCTGAGGCTGGAGACTTGCCTTGAAACCCTTTGTTCAGCTGAGCCCTTCCTTGGCAAACGACCTGATGGGATCTTGTGAGGCTCCAGCAGTCAGCCCACCCTGCTTTGGGACAAGGGGTTTAGTCCGACCCCTTAAGTTTTATCACGAGCCTCAGCGCTCCGATGGGTCTAAGGCCACGTGGGGCAGACTCAGGAAGAGAATTCCAGTCCCCTGACCCCCTGGCCCCTGCTCTTTTCAAACCACCCTCCCCCCACCTCCCCCGAGGCCTTGGGCACTGCATTGGGAAGCAGGCACCTGGGTTCCGTGAGGAAGACAAAGGGACAGTGACAGGGAGAGCAGAGGCAGTGCTTAGTCATCCCTGAGCAGAGCTCAGCCCAGCCTGCAGCCTGGCCGGGCAGTACCGGCCTCAGCTCTTTACAGGAAAGGGGATTCGGGACCAGGGAGAGGTGGTGGCTGGTGGGGAGAGAAATAGAAGCTGAGGACAGATAGGGCCATGAAGTCAGAGTCTCATTTAGAGCTGGAAGGGCCTTCTAGGATCATTGAGGCCAATGTCCTAACTTTCTGCACGGGGACAGGTTTGTCTGCAGGGAGTGCTGACTGGCCCCAGGTCACACAGCCAATGGCAGTAGAACCAGGCGCAGAGACCTGGGAAGGCGGGTCCTCTGCTTCACCTCTTGGCCACTTTCGTGGGCATGACTTCCTGTCCCGGCCCTGCTGCTGCATGCCCTCACTTCCTCCCATCAGAACAAGAACAACAGCGATAAAAATAAATGAAAGGGCCCGGCTGGCGTGGCTCAGTGGTTGAATATCAACCTATGAGCCAGGAGGTCACGGTTCAGTTCCTGGTTAGGAATCATGCCTGGGTTGTGGGCTCGACCCCCAGTGTAGGGTGTGCAGGAGGCAGCCGATCAATGATTCTCTGTCATCATTGATGTTTCTCTCTCCCTCTTCCTTCCTCTCTGAAATCAACAAAAAATATAATTTAAGAAAAAACACAAGTATCTTAAAAAAAAAAAAAAAAATAGCCGAAACCGGTTTGGCTCAGTGGATAGAGCGTCAGCCTGCGGACTGAAAGGTCCCGGGTTCGATTCCAGTCAAGGGCATATACCTTGGTTGCGGGCATATCCCCAGTGGGAGGTATGCAAGAGGCAGCTGATTGATGATTCTCTCTCATCGATGTTTCTAACTCTATCCCTCTCTCTTCCTCTCTGTAAAAAAATCAATAAAATATTAAAAAAATAAAAAAATAAAAATAAACGAAAGGGATCGTCTCACTGAGTACTAAGCACACCAGTCTCCAGCACAGACTCGTGTCCCGCCATCCCCACTTCCTGGTCGATGACTTTGGGTACGTGACTCCTCTTATACTCCAGCTCTTTTCATCTGCATCATGATTTAAGCAGGTTCTGAAATTGCAGGACTTGACAGTGCCTTGAGCATGCGCGGTATTGTTAATCTCCACCATCAGAGCCACTCTGACTTCCTGGGGCAGCCAGCCTGGCCGAGGTGTCCTGACTCACCTGGGAGCAGGTGCGGAGAATGGGAGGTTGGGAGCAGCGTGGGACTTAGGCCGGGGCAGCGTGGGACTGGGGCTGAGCCTGGGGCATGGCCATCTGGCTTTGAGCTTGGCTCTGGCACTCTCTTATGACCTTGGGCAGGACACAGCCCTCTCTGGGCCTCGGTTTCCTCATCTGTGAGATGAGAGGCCAGGCTTCATGGTTTGCTGGGTTTCTGGGAGTCATCCAAGCTGTCCCAGCAGGAACTTTGCTCTCTCAGAAGGTGAGGTGTGCATGAAGGTGCCGGACACATCAGGTGGCCTTAACACCCCGGGGGACCCAGGAGCCAGTCACTCCCGTCCCTCCCCGCCCCGGGTGCCCGGATGGCCCAGACAGCCTGTTAAGGGTGTGGATTCTTGGGGCCTCTCCTGAAGAGACTCTAAGTTTATAGGTTGGGGTGGGACCTTAGAATCTAGATTTTTAAAAAAGACTTCCTCTGCCCAGCTGGCATGACTCAGTGATTGAGCCTCGACCTATGAATCAGGAGGTCACGGTTCCATTTCCAGTCAGGGCTGCAGGCTCGGGTTGCAGGCTGGATCCTCAGTAGGGGGTGTGCGTGCAGGATGCAGCCGATCAATGATTCTTTCTTATCAATGATGTTTCTTTCCCTCTCTCCCTCTCCCTTCCTCTCTGAAATCAATAAAATATATATTTTTTAAAAAAGGCTTCCTCTCACTCAGGTGGTTCTGAAGGAAATAATTCAAGATCCACACTCCAAAGAATGCTGTTAGACTCTTTTAACCTAAAACAATGAGGAGAGTGGTGACCTGCCCGAGTTGGTGACCGCTCCTTACGGCCCTGCTCTGAGATGCCTTCAGCTGTGGCCACCGCCTTCTGTAGCTGGGACTCCTCTTCCCCACAAGCTAGCTTCCCAATCCTGGCAATTACTGGGATTGCCAGAAAGCTTTTGAACAAAATACGCATTCTTGAGTTTCACCCTGAGAGATTCTGAGCCAGCAGATCTTGACCGGGACCTAGAAATCTCCATGTTTAAAAAGCTCCCGAGGTCTTTTGTTCATTTGTCATTTATTCCACAAGTATTCATTGAGGCCTGCAGTGGCCCCAGCCCAGGGGAAGGCATTGAGGACATCATTGTTAGGCCAGACGCAGTCCTGGGTAGTATGTCATCCACGCTGCAGCCTGCAGAGGAGACAGACAGTGATCACACAACTCAGCCAAGTTGGGGAAATGTGTCTAGAGAAGAGTTGGGTCAGACTAAATACCTGGGGCGAAGCTGGGATTCCCTGGCAGCTGAGCTCCAGTAAATTCCAGACTGAAGTAGAGCCTGGAGCCCCCTGGCCTCTGGTATTACTTATAGAATCCTATTATTGGTTCATTCATTTAGTCATTTATGTGTTCACCCATCCTCCCACACCCTCATCCTATCCACCCATCTATCCACCCCCCCATCCATCCATCCATCCACCCACCCATCCACATACCTACCCACCCATCCACCCATCCATCTATCCATTTATCCACCCAGCCACCCATCATCTCTTGAATCTCTACCATGTCCTGAGGACTGTACTGGGTACTGGGGAGACAGAATGAAAGGCATTGTCCCTGTCCTCAAGGAGCTCACAGCCTAGTGGGGGAGTCAGAGAACAAAGCACATGATTCCGGTCCAGAGTGTTAGGTGCTCTCAGGGGCGAGTGGCTAGCTGTGGGCATCATAGAAGACTTCCCTGAGGTCATCTGTGTTAAGGTTCAAAATGTAGGTTTGAGTGTTCCAAGCAGAGGGGGTGGGACACGGTTCCCAGACCAAGGAAGGCAGGTCATGTGACTGGGGCAGATGGGGCCCCTCTTCTGCTCCCAGAGCTCAGGCTTTGTGCTTTATTTTTCACTAGAGGCCCGGTGCATTAAATTTGTGCACGGGTAGGGTCCCTAGGCGGGTGATCAGGGCCAATCTGTGGGGCAACTGGTGGGCGATTGGGAGGGCCCTCTCTGCTTGCCGGCCAGCCCCACCTCCCCATTGCCCCACTGTGGGCAGTTGCCTCCCTCTGCTGGAGGCGACAGGTGGGGCGATGGGGTGGGGGCAGGGTTCCCTGCTGGCACCTGCCTTGGCTGGCCTGGGGCCTGCGGGCCGGGGTCCTTCATTGAGCATCTGTCCCCTGGTGGTCAGTGCATGTCAGAGCAACTGGACATTCCACTGGTTGTTCCTCTGTTTGGTTGATTTACATATTAGGCTTTTATTATACAGGATGTTTGTCTCCCCATGAGGCCTGACCCATAGCATGTACTCAGCAAACATTCATCATTGGTGAATGGGGAGTTGGGGATGATCCGTCAAAACGAATGGTCTTGTGGGCCACACCGAGGAGCTTTTGGCTCTTTGGGCCCTGGACAGTTCCAGGCAGGACTCCCATTACCCAGACTCCCTCTGCTCAGCAGGGAGAACAGGGAGGGCGGACGAGAGGGACCTTTCTCAGCCTCCTGGCCCTTCAGCTCTTTCCTTGTGCGAGCAAAAGCCTTTGTGTTCACGAAACATTCTCAGTGGTAGGTCTCTCCTGCCCTGTGTGTGCATGTGCGTGTGAGTGGTGTGAGTGTGTGTGTGTGTGTGTGTGTGCGTGTGCGTGTGTGTGTGTGTGTGTGTGTGTGTGTGTTGGGGGAAGTAAGAGGGAAGAGTCATTTGGAGGCTGGGGTATATGCAGTGGTGGCCTCTGGAATCAGGCTGCCAGGTTTTGATTCTCATTCTGCCTCTTGTCCGCTGTGTGACCTGGGGCAAGTCTCTCAACCTCCCTGTGTTTCAGTTCGGTTTCTCAGCTTGTCGGTTAACAGCCTCTTTCTCATCCAGTTCTTGGACTGATAAAGAGAGTCGTCATATGTAAGCATGTAGGGCCCTGCCTGGTACCCGGTAAACATCGGATAAACAGTAGCAGGAGAGTGGAGTGCTGGAGACAGGCTGTTTGTTCATTAGCCCGGGAGCCAGGAGGCCTGGTTTGATGACGTAGAGACTTTGGCAATACCTCTGGTGACGTAGAGACTTTGGCAGGCTGTCTCGGGCTCTATGTGGAGGATTCTCACCTGTGAAATGGGGACCGACGCTCCAGACAGTTGCTGGGAGGGGCGCTGAGCCAGGTGGTTCCCTTGCGTGGGGCTTATTGTTGAAATCAGGGAACTCGGGTCTAAACAGCCAGAGTGAAATCTCCATTTGATGTGCGCGGCATGGCCGCCACCTCCACCGCCCGCCGATGCTGGATCTGTGGGGCCTCAGCCTTCACCCTCCTTTGTTCTCACTGGTTTCCGGGATCCTATGGAAATGGGTCATCAGATGAGTGGGGCTCGGGTCTTCAGAGCAAGTGCCTTGGGGTGGAGGGTGACACTTAGTCTGCAGGGACATGGGGACCTCTCCCAGTCTGGGTGCCCTCGGGGACCAGGGTTTCCGACACTTGTCCCGGATTCAGCACCCCCTCCCACCTCATGTCTCTGCTTGGTTGGAAGTCTCAGGGTTGAGTGGCTCGGGCATGCCTGATGCCCCAGAAGATTGGAGTCACAAGCAGGTAAATATTAACTCCACAAACCTAGCTCTGGATGCAAACCTGTTTGGGCTGGCTGCCTGGGGGCTGCAGGTTCTGTGCCCCATGCCCAGCTGATGCCCAGGGTAAGTGGGTGCTCTCCAGGGAAGAAAGAGTGCCTGCCTCAGGCCGGGTGATGGACGGCATTTAGCCTCCTTTGCTGTCCCGTGGTCAGGGGCTGCTGTCTGCTTTTTAGCGGAGGAGGAGACTGAGGCGCAGCGAGGGCAGGAGGCCTGCTCAGGTCTGCACAGCTAACGGGGCAGACCTGGGGGAGGGTCTCACCCTTGGACTCCCAGCAGCCTCTTCGCTGCTGTGAGGGCCACACCAGGATGCTCCATGTGTCACAGGTGCCGAGGTTTGCTTTCTGGCTCCTCTGAGGATTGGTTTCAAATTCCTCTTGCAAAGTGGGTGCAGGCTGGTTTGGGATCCCTGGCAGGCAGGACCGGCTCAGGACACCTGAGAGCAGGGAGGCAGGAAGATGGGGAGCAGGCCCTGCTTGTGATGGGTGAGGCTCTCCCGGGGCCTGGGCTGGGGTTTGGGAGTCACCAGCTGGCCACCCAAGCAAGCCCGTGCTTGCAGACCACACGTGAGGCATCACGGAGACACCTAGGACCCAGTCACGGTTTCTGTCCTCTGGGAGCTGACACACGAGCAGGAATGAGAACACAGGTTTGGGCACTTCAGGGTCTGGGTTTGAATCCTGCGTCACATTGGCTGTGGGCAGGCGCCTTTGTCTGGCTCGGCCTGGGTGGCTCCCTTGGAAAGAGGAGTTAGACCCGTATTTCACAGGGTCAGAGCGGGGTGAGGTGACAGGGCACTCCAGAGCTCCCCGGATACAGCTGGTGTCAGCACGCTGACTTCCTTCCCAGGCTGGACCAGAAGGTCTGCAAGGTGAGTGAAAGCTGCTTCCCGGTGATGCTGGCTGCCCAGGGTAGAAGGGGCGACTCTGCTGGCAGCTGGAGATGGGACAAGGGGGTGCCAACTCCACGTGTGTGTGTGTGTGTGTGTGTGTGTGTGTGTGTGTAAATGAGACGTGGGCTACGTTTTGCTGGAGAGTGAGGGAGATGCTGGCTTTCACTTGGTCTTGCTCTCCCTGTTCTGTTGCCATCAGCAGGGGACATCAGGGGTGGAAGTGACTTGCCCAACGCTGGTAGCATTGGTGGCAGAGCCAGGCTGACCCCCAGCCCGAGGCCAACCGGACCTTGTACCTCTAGCTGCCTGGGGCAGGGCCCTGGGGAGGCCAGGCTCCGGGCCGCTGTGGCCTGCTGTGAACCCAGCATTCTGGGGCACGTGATACACAGGCTGGTCTTTCCTCCACCAACACACTTTCTGTTTTTCTTTATTTACTTTTCCTTAAAAGGCCTCCTGTGGAGCTCACCTCTCCTTTCTCAGGCCTGGAGGGGCGGTGCCTTTTGCCCAGGAGCCTGTCCTGGGAGGGCCTTGCTAGCCAGCTGCTGGACTGCAGACGCTCAAACGTGGGGAGGTCAGAGAGAGACTGAGCACAAGCACGTGGCGTTGTATTGACTTGGTCCACAGCTGGGCTGGCCCACTCTAGCTGTGTGACCTTGGGCAAGTCCCTTTACTTCTCTGAGCCTCAGTTTTCTTACCCAAATAAATTCAACCAGCATTTATGGAAGACCTGTTAGATGCCAGGTTAGGTGCTAGACATTCTTGTTGTTTTTGCTAATCCTCACCTGAGGATATTTTCCCATTGATTTTTAGGGAGAGTGGAAGAGAAATATTGATGTGAGAGAAACAAATTGATTGGTTGCTCCCACTATGAGCCCTGACCAGGGCCCAGGTCGGGGAGGAGCTGGCAACCAAGGTACATGCCCTTGACTGGAATCGAATCTGGGACCCTTTGGTCTGCAGGCCTACGCTCTATCCACTGAACCAAACTGGCTAGGGCAGTACTAGACATTTTGGGTAGGCTCAGCCACTGTCCTCTGGGAGCCTCGAGATTGAGTGGGGACTCGAGTGGGGACTCGGATCTCCACCTTGAAGCATCGAGGAGCTTGTGAAATAACCCTTGGAACACCACACACGGCTCCTGGTTTTAACAGAAACTCAGAAATGATGATGAGCGTCCGTGTTGTCCCCAGCCGGTGAGAGCAGTCGCTGGGGTTTTTCCCCAGTTACTGTCGCTTTGATGTCACTTGTTAGCAGGAAAGAGCAGGAGCTACTACTGAAGGGGCCGTGGGGATGGTGTTGAATTTCAGTGGGCATCGCGATGTGAATCAGAGCCCTGGTCGTGAGTGGAGGCTGCCACATCACTGAGTGCCCTGACGTTGGCAAAGAGGAAGTGCAACCCAGGGGATGGCCTAGGGCGGTTTGCCACGCTGATGACTAATGAGTTTGCCGACCACTGGCCTAGGGTCCTCCACCCTAGGGTTGTCCACCCTAGGCTCGTTGGTTGAGCTCATGAGAGGGACCATGGCAGCCTGGAATGAGCCCTAGTGGGGGTGCAATTGACACAGTGAAGGAGGGATAGCAGATGGGTGACCTGTGTAGGAGGCGGGCCTGGTCCTGAGAAACTCCAGAAGAGGCACCGGGGACAGGGGTAGTCCCTTCCTATGATTCTTTTGTCAAAGGAGGAATTCATACGAGGGCATGACATGGGACAGTGACTCAGGCTCGGGGTGAGGCGGGGCTTGATGACATCCCCGCTGTGACAGGCACAGGGAAAGGCTCAGTGGGTCGCTGGGGCAGGGAGCCTTTTCCCACTGTTCACTGGTGTGTCCCAAACACCCGGAACGGTATTTGGCTCATGGGAGCGCTTCATCAATAGGGGCTGAATAAACGAATGAGTGTGTTACTTAATGGGGTTTCCGGAGGGTCATTGCGCCCAGTCTGCAGATGAGTAAGCTGAGGCTTAGAGGGGTGAAATCATGTGTTTGCTCAAGCTCTGACCCACCCATCGGCTGGGATTAAGAAGGAATTCTTGCTCTGGCTGACAGGTTGGGTTTCGGCCTCGCTAAGATCCTCCTTTGGAGAGTGACTGGGTGTGGGAAAAACTACAGCAGCGGGGTCAGTGCTGTGAACCACAGACGAGGCTCTAGCCATCAGTTCCTGCTCAGATCAGGGGCCAGGTTAGGAGGAGATTTGATGCTGCTAGCAGTAAAGGAGGCCCTTCCGGTTTTGGTCTGACGTCATGGTATCCTCAGACACCGCAGGGGGAGGGCTCTGGCTCAGCCCATGGTGGCACGTAGCCATGCCCGCTCAGGCCGGCTGTCCCTGCCCAGGTCCTGTGCTAAGGTGGTGGCTGGAGGGCCCGGGTGAATCCCGGTTCACAGCGCCATGTTCCTGCCAGACCAGAATGCCCAGTGAGACTTATCGTGCTCACATTTGGCTGCTGGAGCCCAGGACTGCTTGGCGAGGCTCTGTTGGGGGCAGTGCACCCCGAACTCTGCCTGGGCCCACGGGGCCAAGTGAGTACTTGGCTAGTTCTTGGGGCAGGGAGCCTTTCCCCACTGCTCTCTTCCTGGTGTGCCTCCCCACTGGGGTCCAGACCCTCCAGCTCGCCATGAGTGGGGTCCTTGTGGTCCCAGCTGCTCACCCGAGCATTTCCTGGACATTACAGGAGCCCAGTGACTGGTGGCTGGCTGGTGGCTGAAGATTGAAAACCCCAATCCTCTTGGGGTTTAGCCCTGCAGCCTCAGGACCTGGGTTCAAATCCCAGCTCCCCCTCTATTGACTTGTGACCTTGAGCCACTTCCTTAACCTCTGTTGTTGTCTGTTTCCTAATCTGTAAAATGGGGATGACAGCAGCTCCTCTCTCACAGGGTTGTTGCAAAGATTAAAGTAATGATAAGATTAAAGGGCCTAGAATAGCTTCAGACACTTAAAGGCAATTAGTAAATTGAGGCTGATTTTGGCACTCACTCCGGGTGGCCTTAGGCAACCCAGGAGCTGCTGCCTTTCTGTGTGCCTAGGGCACATGTGTCAAACACAAGGCCCGCGGGCCAAATCCGTCCCGCCAGGCCTTGCAATGTGGCCCACACCGCGCTGTCATCACTGCACTCCGCTGCGTTTCCATCACAATGACAGTTTATGACTGTTCAGTAAACCATTTGGCCCGAGATTTAGGCTGGATTTTAGATTTTGGCCCCTTCTCTGATTGAGTTCGACACCCCTAGCCTAGGGCCTGGGCTCCGGCTTCCATCCACAGCACCGATTGTCCCGGGGAAGGAGTACCTGGGCCGGGTGTCTGGGGAGAGGGGAGCAGGGAAGCATGCAGCCCGGACTCCCTCAGGAGTCTCCGTCTACCTTTTCCTTGTCTCTGTCCTGCTCACGTGTTCTCACCGCTGCCATGCGTGCCCCAGGCCTGGCAGAGAGGAACTCTTCATGCTGGGCCCATTGTTTCCAGGACTATTAAAAAAAAAAAAAGTATATATATATATATATATATGTGTGTGTGTGTGTGTGTGTGTGTGTGTGTGTGTATATATATATATATATATATATGTATCTATCGACTTCAGAGAGGAAGGCAGAGGGAGAGAGAGATAGAAACATCAATGATGAGAGAGAATCCTTGACTGGCTGCCTCCAGCACAACCTCTACTGTGGATGGAGCCTGCATCCTGGGCATGTGCCCTGATCAGGAATTGAACCTGGTTCATAGGTTGATGCTCAGCCATGGAGCCACACAGGCTGGGCTGTTTCTAGGACTATTATCGAATGGGCAGCCCTGCCCCCATCTAGGCTCAGGGCCCCTCCCAGGAGTGCCTGCAGCCCCCAAGCTCCCCCACAGAAGCACTGCCTGCTGTTTATTGTTGCTCCCTGCTCCCTGCTGAATTATAAGGTCTGAGGGGTAGGGACCGATGAGTGAGTGTGGAGGGTTGAGCCGTAAGCTAGGCTCAGCTCGGGGACCGAGAGGGACCTGGCCTCAGAGAGCTCACAGAATTAAAAACCGGCCTCCTGGTGCCAGGAATGGCGCTGGGTGCTGGGAACAGGAGAGGCTTACCACGTGGCCCCTGCCTTGAAAGGCCTCAGTTTGCCCTCTTCCCCACCCCCTCTCTTCCTCCTCCCCTCCCTTCTCCCCACCTTCAGGATTCCATATGCTGGGCCGGCTGGTGGAGAGGCACAGAGAATCCACAAACGCCGGAGACCGTGGTGTAATGCAGTCTTTTTAGAGACCCGTAGCCTGGTATGTCTCTGCTGTGGAAACCAGTGGTCATGACCATGACTTTGGCCTTTGTGTCCCTGTGACTAATAACGGTAACACTAACCTCGTTAACGAGCCAGTATCGGCGCTGGACCTCAGAGGACTTGACCAGATGCCCTCGGAGCGAGGGCTGTTGACACTCGAGCCGGGTCATTCTCTGTGGTGGGGTCGTCCTGGCACCGTAGGCTGTTGGGCAGCATCCTTGGCCTCTATCCCCTGGATGCCACTAGCATTCCCTGCCTTTCCAGCCGTGACAGCCCACGTGTCTCCTGACATTGCCAGATGTGCCCGGGGTGCGGGGACCAGTTTGGCCCCGATGGAGAGCCAGGGCCTTAGATGGATCAGCAAGACTCTCCACCCAAGTCAAGATGGGATGGAAATTTTGAAGCTGAATCCTGCCTCCTGCCAAAAAAAGCAAAAGAGGGAGACAGAGCCCTCACCATAATCCCTGGGCGCGCACATGACCTTGTTTGGCATGAAATGCAACCGTCCGTCGGGAGGTGGGAGGGCCCTGGAGGCTGGGCAGTGTGTGCCTTGGCCCAGGCCCCGCAGAGGCAGGGCTCCTGGCAGAGCTTGCTGGATGGTCCCCAGGGCTTTGTGTCCCTCGCTTTGTGTGGTTACGATGCAGGTGCCCACGCGGGGTCCAGAGGACCCCATGGTCATGGGAGAGTTGAGTCAATGCTCGACTGTCCGTCTAAATGCCAGAGCAGCCCTGGCCTTGTCCCTCCCCTCGTAGCGGGTATCTGGTCTGTAACGAGGTTGAATTTGGGTAATTGTTTAGCATCTGCCTCCCTGTGTGACTGTGGAACCCAGGAGGGCGGAAACTGAGGCTGTCTTGCTTATGAGCAAATCCCTAGACCTTGCATAGCGAAGCGCTCAGTACATGTGTGTGGACTGGTTAAAGGGTGGGGTTGGTGGCAGGCGGATCCAGAGAGTTGAAGACTGGCTTTTCTGCCTCCCCTTGAATGCTGGGGAGCTTAAAGGGCCCCAGCATGAGGGCGTGGGCCCTGGAGACCTCCGTGTTAACACAGATGGCCCTCTGGGAGAAGGGAGCTCCGGTACTTGCGTCCTGGTTTGCACCCTCAAGTGGAAGGAGAAGGTGCCCCATCTTCTGACCAAGCCCTGGCCACAGGACAGACCTTGCATGAGCCTGGCACAGGCTGAGTCTTGGCAGGGAGCGCAGGTGTCCAGCACTGAGCACTGGGCACCTGGTAGGTGTGCTGGTGGCCGCAAGCAGGGAAGAGAACTGAGTCCCGGCTGCCTAGGCCTGCACTGTCTCTGCAGGTCCCACAGATGCTCCTGATGTTGAGTGATAGCCCTGGGCATCCGGGCATGCGTGTGTGTGTGTGTGTGTGTGTGTGTGTGTGTTTGTGTGTGTATGTGTGTGTGTGTGTGGTTGGTCACTGTAACCTTGCTGCCTGGAGGGGATTTGTCCCTGAATTTAGCTAAACGTATTGAGACTCCTGCAGGAAATAGACGCATGTGGTTTTTGCAGCTTTCCTGGGCGGGTTGTCCAGCCAGCGTGCTCTTCTTAAAGGGGGACTTCGGCAGCCCCCTCTGCCTGACTAAAGGGATTCAGGGGCTCGGTCGGTCTCCCTGGCCCCACGCACTGAGCTCTGGTGGTCGCTACGCTTCGCACCAGTTAAAGGCCATCGCCTTTTCGTTCTGGGTCCTCCCCTTCCCTGGAATCTTGACTCTAAAAGGGGCGGGAGTCGGGTGGAGGCTGTGGGGAATGTACACAGCTGAGTGGTAGCCTCCGGCCAGGCCAAGCTGGGGCTGCCCCAGAGCACGACGTCTTCTCAGAGGTGTGATGTTAATAGCCAGGTGGGAGGGAGTGGCCTGGACTCATTGTGGAGGGAGAGGCACCCCCACAAGGGAAAGAGGGGGACAGACATCCATCCCATCAGGGATCTGCCTGTGATGGACTTGACTTTGGATCATCTCCCTCCCTCTCTGAGCCTCAGTTTCCTCCTCTGTCATGGGGGGGCTGACCCTGCCCTCTGTGGGATGGCCCACCTGCTTGGGGGCTGGTGGGAAGACACCCATTTCTGTGCCTCCCTCCAGGAGTGGAGGACAGAGAGCAGCTGATGCTCACACCAGATCCTTGGGGAGTGGTTGGAATATAAGAGCCAGCTGCTTGGAGAGTTCCGCCAGAGCTGTTCTGAGCCTTGCGGCCGAGGCCTCCGGTCCCCCGGGGCTCCGTGCTGAGCTTGCCTTTCCTGAGACCTCAGACGCTGCCTGGCCAGCTTGCAGGGCCGTGGCCGAGTTTTGCAAAGGCTGCTGCTTCCTGCCCAGAGCTGTCTCGTGGGACAAAGTGGTCCCCTCCTTGAGAGAGGCAGAGGGTGGTTCTGAAGAAAGTGACTCAGGCCAGACTGCACCCAGGGGGCTACCTATGAAAGGAGGCCTATTCCTCTCGGTGGCCCACCAGCCAGGCCCCGGCGCCCAGCCTGGACCCTGTGCTTCCTCCCTGGGTAGCTGGGCGTATGGCAGGCCCCGCACCTGTCTGCGGCCGGGGGTGGCAGCCGTTGGAGCTCTGGGGTCCTGCCCCCTCTCCCGGCCGCATGCTTCTGACTCAGCAGAGCAAGAATGAGGTCTTTTGGGAGCCAGCTCCTGATGGTCCAAGTCCTTCCCCCCGCCCAACCCCTCCCTCCCCTCTTCTGATCACGCCCGCCTTTGGCTCAGACCGCTTCCCATACTGGTTTTGGGGCACCGCCCCTTGTGCAGCTTGCCAGCGAGTCTGTTTACTAAGCTCTCCTGGGAGGAGCCGTCCTGGCCACGGGCTGATTTCAGACAGGAGGAGGCGTAGGCCCAGACTGGGGTGCCCAACGGGCCTGGGCTGCCTTATCCCCTCCCCTGAGGGAGGTGGCAGGACTGACCCAGACCAAGGGGTTCCTTCACGCACTTAGCAGGTGCGTGCTGAGGCCTGCTGTTTGCCAGGCACTGGTCCAGGGCTGTGGATAGAGCAACGAACAGAAATAATGATGCCCTGGCCTCTGTCGAGTCCATATTCTCGTAGGAGGAGGCTGTTATAAACAACTGAAGTGTACGGCCAGGTCAGGGGAAGGGGCGTGATGGGGAGGTATGTGTGCTGATTTATTTTTTAAATAAATTTTATTGATTTTTTACAGAGAGGAAGGGAGAGGGATATAGAGTTAGAAACATCGATGTCTTGGGGAGGGGTTTATTATTGACTTTATTTGCCTGGGCCGTTTCTGTAGCCCAACACCTGCTCCGTCGAATTACACGGAGTTAGACGCACCTTCGTGTCTTGGTCCCGCCTCACTGAGCTGCAGCTTCCCGGCGGGGAAAGGAGGGAGTGAAACCCACTTCTGGAGTTTGGTTCCCGAGTGGAAATAAGTGCTCTACGGCTAGGATGAATGTCCTAGGGCCATGTGGCACTGGGTTGCCTGAGAGGTGGCTTCTGATGGGGAAGCTGAGGCTCTGAAAGGTGAAGGGGTAGCGCCAAGTCCATGCTGCCCCCTTCTGGCCTCCAAGTGTGTGTGTAGTGGGGCCCTATCACCTGGGACCCTCTGGGCATGAAGTCCCCATAGTTTAGCCACAGTTGGAGACTTCACCTGGCCCTTCAGCCTGGCGCCTCCTGTCTGGGCTGATCAGCTGGGGACAAAGGAGTTAATGTGCCTGGGACTGTGAGGAGGAGGAAGGGCTGGGGATCATTCTGGTGGCAGCCCCCCTTGGTCCCCCACCGCAGGGTCTTCAAGCTTCTGGCTGGTTCTGGTTTCCCAGGCAACGGCCCTTAGAGATGCCCTCTGCAGGGGTGTGCGTGGGGTGTGGGTGGGCTCTTCTGCCCAGAGGCCTCCTTCTGGGGCTGCCCCCTCCCATCTTGCCCGGGGATCACTGACCAGGGGCTCGCCCAGCCAAGAAAGTCAATGGAGGAAGGAGGATGGGGTCGGGGCTTCTCTTCTGGCGGGAACAGAGCCTCCATTGTCTGAGGCTTCAGCCATTGACCAAGCCTCACCCCTGCCTATAGCCCGGAGGGTGCTCCTCCCAGAGCCTCCCTCCTCCTTCCCACCCTTAAGCCTGTTGAGTGGCCTGGCGCCTAGAGGGCGAGGGCAGGAGCTGGCCCTCTTGTCCCCCTGGCATTCGGAGGCCCCTGCCATGGGGGGCCCTGGAAGATGCTCACCCCCTTACCCGTGTGCTCACCCAGCACTTTTGTCCAAGGGGCATGCCTGCCTGGCAGTCCCGGCTCACAGCCCAGTGACTCCCCTCTCGGGGGCTTCATGGCCTTGAGAACACCCTCCAGCTTCTCAGCTTCCTTTTCCTCATCTGCCGTGGGAATTAGCCAGAAACAGAAATGTTCAGCACGAGGCCTGGTACGTGGCAGTGCTCAGATGCCAGCCATTATCATTTCGCAGATGATCATTTTGTGATCTTGAGGGTGATGAGGGTAAGGAAGAGCAGGGTACGTATTCTGGTCCGTGGTCTGCCGGAACTCAGTTGAGCTGTCTGCAGAATGGAACGGCAGGGACTCTGGGAAGGGAACTAACATTTATGAAGAAGCTCCCAGCTTTATTAGACGTCATTTCATTTACATTTGCCTCTGACCAATGGGGACAGGACACACAGAGGGTTTTTCTCAGTGGGTAGAGCGTTGGCCTGAGGACTGAAGAGTCCTGGGTTCAATTCCTGTCAAGGACACATGCACAGTTTGCAAGCTCAGTCCCCAGTAGGGGGTGTGTAGAAGGCAGTCATTCAGTGATTCACTCTCATCATTGATTGTGAAAAGCATGGCTTTTGGGTTCAAAGGCTTGAGAAAGAGCTGCTGTGCAAATTGACACACAAGACAAGGCAAATTAATTTTGAAATGATGGGGGGGGGGGGGGAGCCAGGGAAAAGCTTAACTGTAGTGGCTAAGTTCCACTGAGTCTCTTTCCCAACTGCTTTTATTTACTAGAATACACAATTGCTTTTAGAAATGCAAACATACGTATCAATGGTAATGTTTCGTAAACAGTAAGATTATCAGGTTAGGGGGGAGTTTGCTTTAGGCCAGTGGTCGGCAAACTGCGGCTCTTTGGCCCATTGAGTTTTTAGCAAAGGCCCGCTTAGGAGTAACCTAATTAAGTTAATAACAATGTATCTACCTATATAGTTTAAGTTTAAAAAATTTGGCTCTCAAAAGAAATTTCAATCGTTGTGCTGTTGATATTGGGCTCTGTTGACTAATGAGTTTGCCGACCACTGCTTTAGGCCATTGAGTCAGCAGTAGGTAATAAAATGCAAGTTCGCCCTCTTAATATCAAAGGAGTCCAAACTCAGCCCTCTGGTGGACTTCTCGCTTTTATAGTAATTACTGTTGACCTTGGTTTCCAGCAATTGATGTTTCTATCTCTCCCTCTTCCTTCCTCTCTGAAGTCCATAAAACAAACACAATAACATCTCGTCCTGGAGAGCTGCAGATTGTCTGAGGTTGGGTCCTGGGCCGCAGGCTGAGCCCTGCACGCCTCTCTTCATGGGCGCTGAGTTCTGGTCATGCTCCTCTTGCCTTCGCTCCTCTGGTGTTTTCTTGGATCAGGTGCCTCATCTCTCCAGGGCCCCGGGAGCCACCTGCCCCCGACTTCGTGGCCGATGGCCACTTGTGCTGAGCCTGCGAGGGCAGAGCGTGGGCATCCTGCCCCCCTGCAGACACTAGTTGTGGGTTCCTCTTCCCACTGTCCAGCTGGCTCCCTGCCTCTTCCTCTTGTCTTCCTGGATGGAGCAGAGGGCACTGGGGGGGAGGGGGGGAAGGGGGAAGAGGAGGGATGGCTGGTGGTGGTGGGGGGGCGATGGCTGAAGTTCTCACCTGGACCTGTGCTCCTCTTTCCATTGGGCAGGAAGTCCCACACCTGCAGCTGCCCAGGCCCAGGGACGCCCCAGCCTCACGGCCTCCACAGAGCAGGTCCCAAGCAGGGCGAGGTTTCCAGGCCTCTGGCCTCCGTTCAGTGTAGCTCAGCAGCTGTTGTCTCGCACGTGGGCCAGGGCTCCAGACACTGAGATGAAAGAAGAGGTCACAGTCCGGTGAGGGGGGCAGTTATAATAGGGGCCGTATGTGACCCAGGACCACCTGAGTTCTTTGATAATAGCCCCTCCCTGGCCGCTTCCCTGAGCTACTGAACCTTAGACCTGGGTCACTTCTCTTTTTTTTTTTTACAAAGCTCCACCACCAGGAGAGCCACTGCCTGAAATGGTTCTGGGGAGCACTCACAGAGGAAGAACTGGGTCTGGGTTTTGAAGGTTGAGTAGGAGTTTGCTTGCTGATTGTGAAAGAGAATTCTACCTGGAGGGAGCAAATAGCCTGAGCAAAAGGCCCAGAGATGGGGGACAAGTTGGCACGGTCACAGGCCTGACAGCTCTGCATGAAGCTGGAGCAGAGTTCCCTGGAAGGCCCGGAGCTGTTGAGGCCAGTGGGGAGGGGTGTGTGTCATCTAGGGCCTGGCTTAGGGCCTCGACTCTACTCTGAAAGCGATGAGGAAAAGGCAGAGGATGGTCCGGTATTGAGCGTGATCGGCTGAGACACACCCTGCAGCCTGAGCTAGGGCTTCCGCCCTGGCTCCCAGCACCTCACCCTGTCTGAATGTGGCCCTTCTGCATCAAGTAGCAGGAAAGGCATTTTTTGGGGGTCTGCCTGCCCAGCCAGTATGGCAGTCATCTTTAAAGAGATGACCCCCCAAGAGAAAACTCTTCCCCTCTCACCACGCATGACATCGTTACCATCGTAATGAACACAGTGGCCAGTGTGCACGGAGAGCTGACTCTGTGTGGAACACCGTGCACACCCCCACAGCCCTCCTCCCATCCCCGTGGGAGCTCTGCGTGGCAGGGACCAGTGAGAAAGTGCTCACTGAACTGCTGGCAAGTGCAGACTGGATAGGAACTCAGATCTGCAATAAATCTCATCTTTGTAACCACTGCGGCCTTGTCTCTGTCGCCCATGACCTGGCTCCTCGCGTGTAGCAGCCCCTGGGATGGTCTGAGCAGGTGCGGTCTCCACTTTAAAGAGACAAAGCTCCGGGCCATGAGGGGCCTTGGAGAGGTCAAGGTCACTGAGGGGAAGAGGCAGAGCCCAGCCTGATGGTGGATCCGGCTGCCCCAGGCCGCTGTCCCAGATCCCCACAGCTTGAAGCCCCGTGGTCTCGGGGTCCCTCTGTGAGCCCACTTAGGCTCCCTTACCCTCGTGGGGTATGGAGTGCAGACACAGAGTCCCATTGGCTGTCCCCCATTTTGGTGGTGACAGCTTTAAGGACAGACTTTGACCAAGTCTGCCAGGGGCTCTGCCACTGACCTCCAGTATGCTGCTGGGAGTCCCGGGGGGCAGGTGGTTCCCTTTACAGATGAGGACACCGAGGCTCAGCTCGCCTGCCAGCAGAGCTGGACTCCAGCCTGGGCCCCCGACGCCCAAGGCAGAGCTGCGGTCATCACCGCCGAGCCCGAGTGCTTCCGACAGCACAGGCCAGTGGGTCCCAAGGACCTTCGCAGAGCTTTACACGTTTTACTCCTAACTTCCCCAGGCACCCTTTGAGGTGGCTACTCTGCAATCTCCGTTCTGCAGGCGAGTAAACCGAAGCCCAGAGCGGGGGTTAAGTAGCTCATCCAAGGTGACGGCTGCAGAGTGGTGGCACCCGCCCAGGTGGTAGCCGGAGAACTCTTTCCCCACCTGCCGGGCAGGGACAGCTGGCAGGTTTGCCCCAGGGCCCAGGGAGCCACCAGCGGCACTGGCTTCTGGGTGGCGGGAGCCCCCACTGTGAGGCCAACAGACACTCTGCCTCCCGCTCCGAGCAGGTGGGATTGTGCCCTGTCTTGCACCATCTACCTCTCTGCACATCTTTCTCTTTCTTCCTTCCTTCCTTCCTTCCTTTCCTTTCTCTTTCTTCTTTCTTTCTTTCTTTCTTTCTTCTTTCTTTCCTTCCTTCTTCTTTCTTTCTTTCTTTCTTTCTTTCTTTCTTTCTTTCTTTCTTTCCTTCCTTCCTTCCTTCCTTCCCTCCCTCCTCCCTCCCTCCCTCCCTCCCTCCCTCCCTCCCTCCTTCCTTCCTTCCTTCCTTCCTTTTCTTTCTTTCCCCTTGACTGGAATTAAACCCAGGACCCTTCGATTCCCAGGCTGACGCTCTCTCCATTGAGCCAAATCAGCCAGGGTCCCTTTCCTTTCTTTATACCCACGAGCCATGGCTGGCCAACCCCACTGGGCAGGACAGGGAGGGACAGAGCGAATGGCCTTCAGCGGGGCTCTAGGCAGGGGCTGGTGAGAGCCGCTGGGCTCAGAGCCTGTGGTTATTGGACAGCCAGGAGCAGGAAGTGTCCGGCCACCCCCCGGAGAGCTCAGGTGTGATAAAGCCCTGGAAGGTGGGGGCTGAGCTTGAGCTGGCCTCTGGGGCCGGAGCTTCACCAGGAAGCCGGAAGGCACAGGAGGATATTGCAGCTGGACCCACCGGGCTCCTGAGGGTCCCGGGCATTGGTCAAAGCGAAGGCCAGGGACTTTCTGGGAAGACAGGGTAATTATGGTCCTGCAGCTGCTGTTTTTTCCGGGTTAATGATTTATGATGCGCGGGGGCTGGGCCCTCCTGGGCTCTCGGGCTGCTGGGGAAGGAGTGTGAGAGCTGGCGACTGGAGTGCACAGGTCCTGAGCCCGTGACCCCTCTCTGTGGCTGAAGCTTTGGCCTTGAACGTCACCTAATTAGACTTCTGGCCTTCTTTCCACAGGCCAGCGGCTGGGACGGTGCCGGTCTGAGCTGGACTTTGTCTGATGGCTTCCTCCGGTCCTCCGCCACAGGCTGCCACAGGTACCGTGTCCTGGGCTCCCTCTGATCGGGCTGGGGGCTCGCAGAGGGCCCCGGGGTGGGTGAATCTGGCTTCGCTGTCAGTTAGCAGTGTGCTCTCAGGCAGGTGACTTCCCCTCTCGGCCACGGTTTCCTTGCCTGCAACAGGGAGAGGATAATTCCCTCCTCAGAGCGGGCTCCCGACAGGGGTCGATTCTTTCCCTGTGTCTCGAAGGCCCCCTGGAGAGGTGGGCAGAGCCCGTCTGGGATGGAAGTGTGCCAGCGGATGAAGCTTATGAATTGAGGGTGGGGACCGAGGGGGCAGGGGAAGGCCGGGCCGTCTCTCTCCATCTGTGACGGTGCCAGGGGTCAGGCCATCCAGTGATAGGGCTTTCAGACTGGCTCCAAAAACCAACACGGAAAAACCCACCTCCCAACAAAAAAATACAATTATTTGTTGTTCATCTGAAATTCAATTCGACATCCTGTATTTATTTTATCTGGCAACCGAGGCCGTGGGGCCTCAGCCACCGCAGGTGGAATTCAGGCCCCGCCTGGGAGGAGCTGGGCCCAGGCCGGCTCACCCACTGGGCCTGAAGTCCTGTCCTCTTGCCCCCATGAGGAGAGGCGGACAGCGGAGTGGTCACCAGGAGGGCTCCTTCTTGGCCTGACCCTGCCAGTGCCCCGTGGTGGCTGGGTTATCTCTGTGGCTCCCTGTCATCACCCATGACCTGGGGATAATCATGACACCCTCCCTTATGGTGCGGCTTACACAGGGGTAAGGCTTTGGCGTGTGGTAATGGATCGCTCAGTGAATGGAAGCTGTTACCGCTGTGGGGCGTTGGCAGGATGCTACGTGCACGGTGTGTGCCCTGCACTGAGCCGTGTTCTTCTTGGAGGGTGGGGCTCAGCAGGTGGACCTGCCTTCTCCACAGCAGGAGTGGCTTTCTGGGCCCGGCCTCCTGGCCTCAGTGGGGTTGGCTCCCCCGAGGACAGGCGGGGTGTGTCCAGGAGCATCAAATGTGTGTGGCCAGCTCTGGCCATGCCACCTGTCCAGATGGGTGGGAAGGGTTACTTTTCTTTCTTTCTTCCTTTCTTTCTTTCTTTCTTTCTTTCTTTCTTTCTTTCTTTCTTTCTTTCTTTTTTAAATATTTTATTGAGTTTTTACAGAGACGAAGAGAGAGAGAGAGAGAGAGAGAGCGAGCGTAAGCTCGGGCTAGAAACATCGATGAGAGAGAATCATCAATCAGCTGTCTCTTGGCCGAAACTGGTTTGGCTCAATGGATAGAGCGTCGGCTTGGGGACTGAAGGGTTCCGGGTTCGATTCTGGTCAAGGGCATGTACCTTGGTTGCAGGCATATCCCCAGTACGGGGTGTGCAAGAGGCGGCTGATCGATGACTCTCTCTCATCGATGTTTCTAACTCTCTATCTCCCTTCCTCTCTGTACAAAATCAATAAAATATATTTTAAAAATCAATAAAATATATATATTAAAAAAATCAGTTGTCTCTTGCACACCCCCTACTGGGGATGTGCCAGCAACCAAGGTACATGCCCTTGACCGGACTCGAACCTGGGACCTTTCAGTCCACAGGCCGACGCTCTATCCACTGAGCCAAACCGGTTTCAGTTGGGAAGGGCTTCTTCGTTTAGTGGCCAATTATCCAGGGATGGGCCTCCTGATTTTTCCTTCTGATAAGGAGTGAGGTCTGATTGCCTGGGACCCAGAAGCCCAGGAACAGCACTGGGAACAAGGGCATCTCCTGATTCATGGCCGTGACTTTGGGTCCCGGGATGCGCCCACCCCGGCCCCTGCTGCCATGGTCACCTTGCTCCTTTCTCTCACGTACCAGGGGGCCCATCATGGAGAGCGAGAACAAAATCATTTCATGATGAAATCTATTCCATCCCATTCAAGAACTACTGGATGGGTGTTCATTGTCCCAGGTCTGCCTGATGTTGCTGGTGACTGTTTTCCAGTTGAGCCAGGCTCTTGGCCATTTCCTGACTCTCGGAGAGCTTCCTGCTGTCTCACCAAGTAAAATCCAGATTCCCGAAGCAGCTCTTGTCGTCTTACGGCTCTTCCTCCTTGCTCACGTGTTCAGCTCCACGGGGCCCCTCCATGTTCTCTGCACCTGCTCTGGGCTCAGCCTGGAACGCCTCTGCCCACCCGATCCTGTCAGGCCTTTGCTCATCCTTCAGTGCTCTATGGGGGGCAGCCTTGTGCCTGAGGGCCCGGATGTCATGGGCCCCTCTCCTCTCTGTCTGCGCCAGCTCAGTCTCTGGGTTTTACGTTTCTCTCTTGTCTCCCCTGCCTGCCTCTCCTCGCAGGGAGCACCTTGGCATTGAGAGGTCCCATCTTCTGGGCTGGCATGCACAGGTCATGGCCCAGAGGCTGCCAGGAACAGTTCATTGAACGTGGGAACGACTGTGCGGGTTGATGGCTGACTGAGGCCATTTGTACTCTCAAAAAAAGAAGGTGCAGAAATGGCCTGAGTCCCAGGACATGGTCTGGGCCTGGCCTGTGAGTGGGGAAGGCCTGCCCACCTCACCCAGGGTCAAGGACTGGGCTGTGACTCAGGGCAATAATAGTAGTAGTAGTAGTAGTAGTAGTAGTGGTAATAATAATAATAATAATAATAATAATAATAATATAATGATGATGATGATGCAATAACAGTGATAATGAACGGAATCATCATCATAAGAATGACTGACATTCAGTGAGCACGTACCTGGCACTTTATATGTGTTAGTTCATTCACCCATCCTCCCAACAACACAATAAGGCGGTTACTATTATTATCCTCAGTTTGGAGAGCAGGAGGCTGCAGCTGGGCGGGTAGACTGACTTGACGCTCACACAGCCAGCGTGTGGGAGAGCTGGAGTCTGACCCGGATGGACGGAGACTGTATTCACCACTGTGATACCGGCCGGGTGCTGGGTGTAAGGGAGTCCCTCCCCGCCATTGCCCGCCCAGCAGACTCCAATGGGCAGGCACCCTGGGCGCTGCAGCCCTCTCGGTCAGGAGGGGCCTGTATCCCGCTGCCCAGAAGTGGTGGGTAGGGATTGTTAGTCATTTGCTTCAATATTAAAAAAAACATTTTTTTTTATTGATTTTCCACAGAGAGGAAGGGAGAGGGATAGAGAGCTAGAAACATCGATGAGAGAGAAACATCAACCAGCTGCCTCCTGCACACCCCCCACCGGGGTTGTGCTCGCAACCAAGGTACATGCCCCTGACCGGAATCGAACCTGGGACCCTTCAGTCCGCAGGCTGATGCTCTATCCACTGAGCCAGACTGGTTTCAGCTCTTCAATATTTTTTAAACTTTCAAAACCACAACCCATAGATAAGACAACAGGAGTATATGGGAGCGTGTGAATTCAACAAATACTTGTCATGGGCCTACCATGTGCTTGGCACTGGGCCAGATGCTGGAGATCCAACAATGGGTGAAACAGGCAAGCACGCCTGCTCTCCCAGAGGAGACGGACAGGAAAATGAATGAAACTTGGAGCACGTGACGTACTCACAGGGCCACAGAGAGAAATGTGGTCCCCAAGGGAGGGAGGCCCAGTGCTTTCGTGGGCAGCTCTGGTCAGGGCAGCCTCGCTGGGAGGTGTGCAGAGTGAAGACCGGAAGGAGGGGAGAAGGGGAAGAGCACCTGAGGAAGAGCATCTGGACCCTGGGTGGGAGGACAAAGATCCCGAGCAGCAGCACGTGTGGCTCATTCATGGTGCAGCAAGGAGGCCAGGGTGGCTGCAGTGGACTGAGCGTGGGAGAGCAGTGGAAGGTTCTACCCCCCTCTCACACATGCACACACATACACATGCATGCACACACATGAAATGGGATGCATACACATATTACCTGAAACTGAAACACTTTTATATGTCACATAAACTGAACAGAAGTGTAACAAACGATATCAAAGCAATACTAAATGTGATGTTATGACTATTACAAAATTTAAAAATACCTCCAATAAGCAGTCCAGACTCAAAACAGAACGCTGCCTGGGGAGCTCCTACCTGCGACTGTGACCCACCGGTGGGTGGAGACCTGTCACGTGACAACAGGACCCGCTTCCCACGTGGGCCCGCATTTCCTTCGTTAGTGCATCCCCCGGGCCAGGGGTCCGCACGGCTCCCAGGAGGCAGCGGGCTTAGTAGGAAGAGTGAGGGACACGAGCTAAGCCAGATCTGGGTTCAGACATGGCTCCCCACTTATGAGTTGTGTGGCTGCAGGAACTTTTGCTCTGGAAACCCCGGGGCCTCGTGGCATGAAATGGGGCCGTTGTGAGGTTCAGTGGGGGGCTCAGTGTTGTTTTTTCTCTACACCTGTGAAGGCGCTCATGCCCAGAGGAGCCCACCTGCCGCTGTTAGCCCTTGGCGTCCCCCAAGCTCCAGGAGGGGCGGGGTCCTCAGCTCAGCAGCCTCCGTCTGGTCATCATCCCGCACAGGAAGCTGGGGAGGGTGGGTGAGCTCTGGGTTCTGCCGAGGAGAGGGATTCTGGGATTTCACACATTCACACCTTCCATTTTTCTGCTCTGGAGGCCCCGGGTCGCTGTCGGGGAGGGGTTGGACTTTTCTGGGCTGGAATCAGATCTGTCCATCTGTCTGTCTGCTGGTCCATCCACCCATCTCTGCTCCATCCACCTCCCTGCCCGTCCACTCATCCTCCGGCTGTGAGCACCCGTGGACCAGACCGTCCTGTCCTCAAGGATCTCAGGTGGGAGAGGCAGTGGTTACAGCAACAGGTGCTGTGATGTAACACAAATACCAGGCACGGTGCCAAGGCAGGAAAGAAGACGAAAGCGTCGCTGGCCCATCCACTGTAGGCTCCAACCTGCTATGAAAAGTGGAGGTCGGCGCAGGGGCTCAAGCAGAGTCCCAGGCTGAGCAGATGAGGCAAAGCGAACCTGATCATCCTCGCCGGCCCCGGCCCCGGCCCCACCTTGAGCAAGCCTGAGACAGAGCACTGGCCTGGTCGCCCATGACCAATGCCCATCACTGCACTGCAGTGACATCGAATTGGGCACAGCACGTGGAAAATACGAGAGTGTGCGCACGGGCTGTCCCTGACCCAGGGGGTTCCCATATCACTAGAGGCGTGCCAGAACAGACAGACAGTGAGAAGTAAATTGTGCAAAAATGTCCTTGAATGACACTGGGCCGGGCCTGTTAATAAACAAACAGACAAACAGCCCCTTTACTTACAAAATAGGAAACCAGGAAACGAGATGTTGACTAACGCGTCAGATGCGCCCATGCTCACCGGGGAGGCGTGCTCTCGGCCCCTCCATCCTCTCCCATCTGCTCAGAGCCCAGCCCAACCTCAGCCACCTCAGGGGCACAGGAGGGCCGCCTGGCCCTGGCGTGGGTTTGCTCTTGTCTCTGGGAATTGAACTCACTCCTTCACTGGGACCTGCGCAGCTGCTCACCCATCTCCCGCCATCTCTCCCTGGGCCAAACCCCGAGACCCTTCCGCCCAGCCCCTAACTCCTCCCCGCTTCCAGGAGATCAGCTGGTTCCTGGAGGAGGCCCAGGCCCCTCCCCAGAGGCGGAGGACGACCCCGGAGAGCCCTTCGAGTTTGACGACAGCGACGATGACGAGGACACCAGTGCTGGCCTGGGAGCGGACGCGGACGCCCCACTGATCCGTTTGGACGCGGCCCCTGGCCCCGGTAAGGTGCTCTGGGAGCCTCAGGTCCTCCCATCCCCCCCGGCCTCTGGGCATGGGTGGGGCTCCAGGCTCCCAGGCTTGCCTCCGGTCCCTGTGCTGTCCCCAGGAAGCAGGAAGCGAGAAGCCCCTGGGAAGAAGCTGCATTCCCTGGCCTCCCCTGGGAACGAGGATTCCTAGCATTCCTGCAGCATCTGGTGGCTTTGGCACTCAGTAAATGGAAGTGGCTGGCCCGGCTCTGTGCAGCTTCTCCCAGGGAATCACACCCGCCAGAGGCTGCTCCTCCCAGGGAGCGGGTGCCCGGGGGTGGGCGGGCGGGAGGGCCCTGATAAGGCCGGTGTTAAATGGCAGCTGCTGGGCCCTTGGTTCTGTCATCTGGGAGAGGCCCGGGGACTGGACTAGCAGGAACTTCCTGCAGCCTTGGGGACAAGGGACTCCTTGAGGAGCTGGGGGTGGGGGGCAGGCCCACAGTGGGCTGGTCCTCTGGTTCTGGTTGGAGTTGGGGTGTGGGCCACGGGGTGGAGGTGGGGGTGGTGCAGGCAGGACAGGTAGGGGAGCTTGAAGACTGAAGAGACCGGGAGAAGGAGGCGGGCACTGCAGGCGCCCAGCCGGCCAGGCCCTGGCTCCTGCACCACAGGGTGTCCACCGGCCCGGCCCCCGCCTGACGGGCTCTCCTTCTGCTCTTCTCCGCAGACCCAGACCCAGCGGCCTCACCGCCCCAGACACAGTAAGTGAGCCTCCACTCCTTCCTTTTGGGGTGTATGTGTGTGTGTGTGTGTGTGTGACTGGAAAAGAGGGAGACTGGGCAGGTGGTGTGGGGAAGGGTGGGGCTGGAGCCAGGGTGGCTCAGGGCGGGAAAAACACGGTTCCAGATCCCTGAGCCCCAGGGAAGAGGTCGGTCCCAACACCTCGTGTTACTCCAAGCCCTGGCTCTGCCCCTGGCGAGCGAGCTGTGTGGCCTGAAGGAGTCATGTGAGTCCTCTGAATGCGAGTCTGAGCACCTGCAACATGGAAACAGAGAGTCCTCACCCCCATGGGTCCTGGCTGAGAATGAGCCGACTGTCTGGTATTCGGGCTGATGTCTTTGCCATCGCTGTTTGTTTTTGCCAATCCTGGTCTCCTTCCTGTGACTGTTGTCGGGGACTCTGTCCTTAGCGGTGGGCCTGTCTGGGGCAGAGCAGCCTGGTGCAGAGCAGCGTCATGGTTAAAAGCCTGGCTTGGGGGGTGACTGCCTGGGTCTCACTCGGGCCCAGCACTGGCTGTGAGCCCGTGGGTAAGCCACAGTCCTCTGGGCTTTGGTGTTCTCGTCTGTGAAATGGGCACTGCTTCCCTCTTAGAAGAGCATATTGTTCCGCGGGAGGCCCAGCAGGGCAGCCGGCCCCTGGCCACGGTGGCTCCTTCTCCTACCCTTCCCTTAGGGGGCTTGGGCAAGGCGGCTCTGAGTCACACAGCACATTTGGGGACTGGGGCCGTGGGAGCTGAGGCCTCTCTCAGCCTCTCAGAGCTTTACTCAGTGCTGCTTGTTGCTGGGGCCATGGTGTTTAGGGAGTCCCCTTCTAAGGGGAGAGAGAGTTTGTGGGTTTTGGCTGGGGGGGGGGGGGCGCCACCCCCAGCAGCAAAGGGAGGGATGGTGGAGACTCCCCTTGTCTTCCAGCTGGGAGTGGGGGATGACTGGTTCTCAGGCAGGTGCGACCTCGCTGGAGGTCTCAGAGATGTGTCCCTGGGCCCCTCGAGCAGAAGACAGTCCTGGATTCAAATCTCTGTCAACACAAGTCCTTGTAGGTGCTCATTTGTCCCAGGGGGCGTGGGCGGGCCCTGGGTAATTAAGGCCTCCAGTGGGAGCTGGCTGCTCCTCCCGATGAGGGACCTGAAATGAATCAGCATTTCACCCACAGGGCCGTTCTGGGGTGGCTGTGAACTCAGGCTGACGGCTCCAGGGGGGCTGGGGACGAAGCTCCTGGAAGCTCAGTCTGCTGGGGGAGGCAGGCACTGCGCAGTGGGACAGAGGACGGTGGCCTGGGGGGTACCCAGGGAACTGTGACACGGCCCGAGGGAAGCCAGGAGGGGATCTTGGCTGCGAAAGTGAATGTGACTTCACTGGTGGGAGAGGGGAAGGTGGGAGGAGCGTCCGGATGGAGGAAGCTCCTGGGTAGAGGCAGGGCTGTGAGCGGGGGTCACCCTCCCAGAGACCCCCCTTCCCGGCCTTTCGGTCAGGAGCAGAGCAGCCCGGCCCCTCTCGGCCCGCCTTCTCTTCGTGTGCCCTGCGGACCTGATCGTGTGCCCGGCTGGTGCTGGGTGCCGCACTGAGCTGACCCGCTGGTTCTCAGCGCTGCCGCCTGGTGCGTTGCTTTCACCAGGCCACTGGCCAGGACAGCTCGGGGGGCGCCAGGCGTTTCTGAAAGAGAAGCCCAGACCACCGGCCACTCCGCAGCGCGCCCCTCGCCCTGGAGCCACCCGCCCCCTCGCACGCCATCTCCAGGAGGCACCAGGGCTCTGGAGGTTCAGACCTCACTAGCGGCGTGGCTTCGGGCTGCCAGTGATCCTCGCTGAGCCCCAGTTTCCCCAGGAACAAGGTGGAAATAATGGCACCCGCCTGAAAGCATCCTGAGGACTGAGCGAGACGGATTGTGGGAAACACGGGATTCACGCGGCGTGTTTGCTTCTGCTCCCACCTCCTGTCCAGTTTGGGTGTGTCCAGCGCCACGGGGCTGGAGGGGCAGAGAAGGTGTGCTCAGTGCTGTGGACTCCTGGGCTGGGCCTGCAGTGCCAGGGCTGGAGTCTCACCCACAACAGGCTCGGATGTAGATCAGCTTGGGTGTCCTTCTGGGACTGACATTCATGGGACATGAGACCCTGGGAACACTGATCACAGTGGGCGTGGCGAGAGGCCTCCATTCCAGCCTCTTAACTTTACAAATGGGGAGGCTGAGGTGGACTAGCCAGGGCAGAGGGGGAGCCTTGCCCAAGATGCTGGCGGCCTCCTGACTCCTTGTTCAGTGCTCTCACCCTTCTCCCAGCTCCATTTCCTCCCTTCCAGGCCTTCCTTTCCTTCTGTTCCAGCTCCTTCCCTGCGCGGTGATTTTCCACTTGGAGTCCTTTGGGAGGTGAATCCATCCAGACCCAGTTCCTCCTCCTTGTTACCCAAGAGAAAGGAAAGAAAAATATTGATTTTTAAAAAATACTTCCCTGAAGGTAGTCACTAAGCAAACACTGCTTTGACAAAACAAATCTTTGAGTTTTCACCTCTTGTTACTGCATTTCCCCCGTCGCCCCTGCCCCAGGTTTGGAAATGGCCTTGGGCTTTGCCTGGCTGCCCACGTGGCCTCCAGGGAAGCTCCTGGTGGAACTGCCCAGGGCCAGACAGAGCTGCAACCTCAAAGGGACCTGCTTCCTACCAAGGCCTCGAGGAAGGGACACAGGGTCCGTCCTCATGCCCGCTTCCCAGCTGGTGGCAGGAGCGTGGTGGGTAGAGTGGGGGCCTGGGAGCTCAGGCTCTGGGCCACAGAGCTGGCTTCAAGTCTTGGTCTGGTCACTAGCTGTGCGTCGCCAGGCAAATGGCTTCCTGTGCTGAACCTCACTTTCTTAATCAATAAAATGGTGATAACAAATCTACTCTCTTGCAGGGCTCTGTGAGGCAAACGTAAGTTAATATTTATCCGGTGCTTAGTCTGGCTGGCGTGTACTGGCTGCTCCAAACGTATTTGCTGTTGTTATTCTGGGTCCTGGTGTAGGTTTGGATTTAGAGGGAGCTGGTTGGGCTCTGGGAATCGGACAGACCTGGCTTTGATCGGGCTCTCCTCCCTCAGCTACCCCCCCCCCGCCCCCCCAGGAGTCTGCACAGGGGAGGGAATACACCTGCCAGACGGACAGTTGCAAGGGCAGTAGAGGCTGATTGGAAATCCAGGCCCAGCGCTGTTGGGTCTGCCCCTGGCTCAGAGGCCCGTGGACTTCCTGGTCCCTTTGCCTGCTTGGCTGGCTTGCCCAGAGGAAGAATGAGGCGTCTATGGGGTAAACAGAGCTGCTGGCATGCTGGGTGTGTGTTATGCCGAGGTCAGTGGGGTGAGGTTTAGGGTTGGGCTACCCTACTCAACCACCCCAGGAGTGAGGGCGGCTGGGATTCCGTCTGTCTTGCTGCTGTGTTAAAGCAACCTTCTCAGTGCTCAGTGAACTGGCCTCACTTTTTCTTTTACATTAAAAAAAAAAAAAAAAAAAAAAAAAAAAAAAAAAATATATATATATATATATATATATATATATATATATATATATATATATATATTTTAATTGATTTTTACAGAGAGGAAGGGAGAGGGATAGAGAGTTAGAAACATTGATGAGAGAGAAACATCAATCAGCTGCCTCCTGCACACCTCCCACTGGGGATGTGCCCGCAACCGAGGTACATGCCCTTGATTGGAATCGAATCTGGGACTTTTCAGTCCACAAGCCAACACTCTATCCGCTGAGCCAAACGGGTCAAGGCTGGCCGCATTTTTTCTTCCCTTAACAGGACACATCTTTACCAGGTGGTGGTAGTAGTGGGCCCCGGAGACCATCCTCTGAGTCAGGGTCAGGCCAAGAGGAGGCCAGGCTGAGGGAAGCAGCGTATGAACAGAATGGAATTAGCCAGAGAGCCAGCCTGCAGCCTGGCCTGTGTGTGGGAGCAGGGGGAGCAGTGAGACAAGGCAGGAGAGGCCTCCAGCCCAGAGGAATCTCCCCCTGGGTAGGTCAGTGATGGAGGTGTCACTCAGGTTTCACCAGTCGCTGCAGACCCACTGGAGCTGTTTGGAACCCTGGGCTAGACCTTAAACTTGCCATTTCCCCAAATCCTTAGTAATAATCACAGCCTTTTGCGTCCTGTCCTGCGGGGTCCATGTGGGCAGGGGAGTCCCTCCTGGGTGGGTTATGGGGCCCCCTTTTCCATCGAAGACCCTCTCTGGCCCCTCGCCCCTAAGTTGGAGAAGCTGTAGTTGGGTGTTTTTCTGTTTCCCACCCTGGTTAAATGGGTTTCCTCATCAGAGTGATGGACTTTGGACCAGGGACCTTTGAGAACCCAGTATAGAAGCCGCACTGTCTCCCCTGAACAGGTCACACCGTTTGTGACATTGAGGGCTGCTGGGGTTCTTGTCCCAGCCTTACGAAGGGTTCAGCATTCTGGAGAAAGGGGCTGCATGTAGATTCAAGAAGGAGTCCATGGACGAAAGATAGTTTTGAAAGGCATTGGGGGTCAGAGGAGCTTCAGCTGAAGGCGCTAGAAGACTCCCACCTCGGCCAAGGACCTGCTTTTATTATACAATTTGTCCCAGGGCAAGGCGAGGATAGTCTCCTGGGGAGGATGTTCTCCGAGGCCCATCCAGGAATCCAGCTGCCCAGATGCCCAACTTCCTCCCTCGAGGTCCAGGTCCACGTGAGAGGTGCTGGCCAATGGGCAGCACGGCCCATCTTGTCTGGATAAGCCCAGGAAGGGGCAGGGCTGGTATATCCTTTGATACTCTACACTTCAAAGGGTAGGGTATCAAAGAATATACAGAGACATTATCAGTTTGGAGAATAGCCAGCTCAGGTGTTTGGCCAACAGGAGGCAATAAAATGCCCTGAGCTGTCTGGCAGCAGACAAGTATTCTATTCAGGTTTGGGGGAAATGCCGTTTAGCCGTTTCCAACAGGTGAACTACAAGCTCTCCAAGCTTCACCCCCCCTTTTGGTAAAACTCTTGTAATTATCACCC